TTTCTTTCAGGAAACTTTTGAGCATAAACTCAAGAAGCCAATAAACAATTTTTATGACATTCTCCAAGGGTGAAAATCATGTCAATACGCTCTTCTCTTGGATAATTCTTCATTTTCACTTGGCAACACAATAATAATATTAAAATAACGACCAATACATCTACAATTACAAAAAACAATACCACTCTAGCTATCAAAAAGATACTTTGGATACATCGGAACCTTAAATTAAACAACACCAAATGGTGCACAGAACGACTATTTGACGTATTTTGTAAAAAGGCAAAAACTTAGCTATTGACATCCTAATACCATTCGATAGGTAATTAAAAATTGCATTTCCTGGTAAGTTAAAAAATATGGGGTTGTATTTAAATTAATAAAGTTAGAGCCACTTAAAGTTCTTATTTGATTAGCGTAAATTTGTGGACACCCTGTATAACATGGTAAGTTTATTATCATTGGGATATAAAATATTATATCTTGTTACACTTCACTATAAATTACGCTTACATAACTTAAACACTTCTAAAGTATTTAACACGTAAAAATTAAATTAGATTTTGATTAAATTCGTGTTATTTAAAAAACCTTAAGATTTAGGTATTATAAACCTTATTAAAACAGACACTTATTGGGTTCAGCGAATCCAAAAATGCAATAATATACAGGACATTCCATTTTAAAAAACGCAACTTTGATACCTTTAGAGCTTTTGGGATACCCTGTACATTACAAAAATATTTTTAAAATGTGCGCTCGGTAGGCGTCGGACAGTTCATAAAGTAATACTTTTTAAAAATCAAACGGTTTACCCGCAAAATTCCGTGCCGTATAGCGTGAATAACCCTGTATAAGTGTATTTGCGAAATGATTCGGCTAACCGCATACAGTTCCAAGATAAAAAAATGTGACTGTTATGTTAAAAGCAACAAATAAGTTTTTCACTTGGTTCAAATTTTTGAACTTAAAAATATAAATCATTTAGAAAACCTTTACAAATAGTTGTTATTTTTTTACTCGTCTAAGGTAATTCTGCTCATTAATTTGTAAGAAGTAATTCAGGAAATTCAGTTTTATTTAATAGATGTTTTAAAATCTTAAAATCCTGTTAAAAAATTTAATTTGCCGATTTTTTTAAATTACATGTTTGTTGCTTCTACCTATTAAAAATCTACTTTTTGGTTAATTTGTATCTATAAATATGCAGTTATTAATTATTAATTTCCATCAGTTAAGGAGACCAAAAAAAATAACATCAAAAACTAAACAATAAATAGTATTTATGTACTACATTTTCATAACAGGAGATGAAAGGAAAAATAACTGAACAGCAAACGAAAAAAAAATCTGAAATTGAGAAGAGCTACATAATCAAGCGCGAAATAGTCCCAATATTATTAATTTAAGTTTCTTATTTGTTATTCATGTTTTAACTGTAGGAAATCACTTAAAAGGCTTTCAGTAATTTGCACCTTAATTTGTTTTGCTTAACATAGGACTCTGCTTTGGAAAAGGACTAGACCAAAGTGTTGACGTAGGTAAATGAAAATATAATAATTTAATATAACTGTTTCTCCTTGTATAATCTCTGGTTTGGTTTACTTACATCTATGTTTCTTGTCACGTCGACCATATGTAGTTTAATATTTTTTCAATGTCATATTTCATTAACCCTTGAACACTATACTGATTAATTAACCTACCTACTGGTTAATTTTGTCGAGTAGAATTTCAACAGGTAAAGTCTTAAGGAAGCTTGCCTTAATTTTTTTAAATTAACTATTTTACCAATTAATCACAGAAATATTAATTTTTTGCTTCACTCGCATGTTTCAGTTGGTATATCAAAGTAAAGAATGATAAAAATGGGAGCAAAATAATACATTTGTTAATAAATGGTTAACTGCAGACAAATTTTCAACTATTATTAGAAACTTGCGAAAAGTTAGTTCTTTGGTCCTGGAAAAAACCAGAATTTTTTGTATAATTCCGCAGATATGTTCCACTAGTTACCCATTTGGTAATCAGGTAAAGTAAATTATTTCCTAGCACTCATATTGTTACATGTTTTGGAATACTGTCCACGTTCTTGCTGTTACATGTTTTTGAATGAAATCGTGACTGCAAAAACTGTCCCAAGTTAACCTTTACATGGTTCATGGTTAATTATTAACAAGTTTCTCAACAACACGAAGTGCAGGTCTATAAGCAAGAATTAGCTGCATGCTTCTGTCTTAGATCGATCAGGGCCGCCAGGCAAACCAGAACTCCTTCCAGAAAGTGAGGGAACTCCAGACTTGGTGAGTCTCAGATGGACTCGGCCAGTTAACGATGGAGGTTCTCCGATCACCGGCTACTTGGTGGAACATCGTCGAGTGGGTTCGCCACATTGGGTGCGCGCCACCCCCTTACCGGTTCCATTCCCAGAAATCACCCTTAGTGGACTAGAACCAGGGTAGTCTAAGCCAGGACAGGAGAAAAACTAAAAACAAATAACATGCCCAATTTGCTTCAGATGGCGATATCAGTTTCGAGTGAGTTCCGAAAATGCAGTCGGATAC